TAGTAGTAGTAGTAGTAGTACTAGTAATATTAGTAGTAGTAGTAGTAGTAGTTCGTCGTAGTAGTAGTAGTAGTAGTAGTAGTAGTAGTAGTTGTAGTAGTAGTCGTAGTAGTCGTAGTAGTAGTAGGAGTAGCAGTAGCAGTAGCAGCAGTAGTAGTAGTAGTAGTAGTAGTGGTAGCACTAGTAGTAGTAGTAGTAGTAGTCGTAGTAGTAGTAGTGGTAGCACTAGTAGTAGTAGTGGTAGTAGTAGTAGTAGCAGCAGCAACAGTAGTGATATAAGTGGTAGCAGTAGAAGTAGTAGTAGTAGTAGTAGTAGTAGCAGCAGCAGTAGTAGTAGCCGTCGTCGCAGTAGTAGTAATAGTAGTAGTAGCAGAAGTAGTAGTAGTAGTAGTAGTAGTAGTAGTAGTAGTGGTAGAAGTAGTAGTAGTAGTGGAATTAGAAGTATCAGTAATCGGAATAGTACTCGTACAGGTAATGAGAATAGTCGTAGTAGTGAGAGTCGTAGTAATACCCGTAACAGCGGCAATATGAATAGTATTATATTATCAAATATAAGTATATTGGCAGTGTATGGTAATACGAGGTGGACGTAGTTGATAGCGGTCGTAGATAATAGCTGCAAGTTGTGATTAGAGGTAACCATCGTAGACACAAGTGGTGACCCTTGACTCCTAGGTGCCGCCTGTAACGGAGACCCACCCTCCTCCGCGTACCCAGCATGGAGATGGCGAACCTTGACTCCTGGGTGCCGCTCGCAATGGGACCCCTCCCTCTCCGCCGCCCCAGCACGGAGATGGCGACCCTTGAACTCATGGGCGTCTCTCACACCTGGAACACACCCTCCTGCTTGCCCCCCGCACGGAGATGTCGACCCTTGATCTCTCCGTGATTCTTGATTCCTGGGCGCCGCTCGCCACAAGGACCCACCTCCTTGAAATGCCCCTCACAAGGCCAGCACCTCTGACCCTAAGACGGACTGACCCCCCTCCCAAACTCATTCCGTTACTCAATCGTCTACGCATTTACAACGCATTGACATCCGTATGCCAGCGCGGTATGCGGGGGGAACCTGGCCAGGGCCGGCGGGTGAGAAACCTCAGAACCAGCTCTCCCCTGGGCGCCCAGCTCGAGATGCAAAACGAGAAACGGAACGAGGGGGGCAAGGAGAAGGAGGAGGAGGAGGAGGAGGGGGAGGAGGAGGGGGAGCAGGAGGGAGAGGAGGAGAAGACAGGGAAGTTTGAGGAGGAGCGCACTTCGTCCTCCCCCTGCTCCCCCGAGGACGCCTGCGATAACCCCGACAGGACCTCCAACAAGCCACCCTACATAACAAACGCTGGTAGGCTATGCGACAGACGTTCGTATTCTCGCCGCTGTGGGCTCCTTGAGCCCAGAAAAAGCCCAGGAGCCCCCCAAGATCAACACAAGGTGGCCCAAGAAACCCCAAAGAGGGCCCCATGACGGCCAACGAAAGCCCCCTTGACGGCCAACGAAAGCCCCCAGGCTCGAAGACTGCCAATAAGGCCCCAAGAGGGCCGAAATAGAGGGAAAACGAACTGGCATTTGGAGCCTTGCGCCCCAAAATGACCCCATGGGGCTTCCCCCTGAGAATTTCATCCTGGGCCGTGTTTTGACAGCACCGAGGCCCAGTGACGGCCGCAGCGGCAGAAGACCGGAAAAAACTTGGAACGCTTTTCCCACAAGAAGCTGATCATAAATTCTGATCCTTCCTCGTGCGGGGCGCCCGATGCCCCGGCCCTTCCCCACAGAACGGCTGTTACTCCTAAGTTCTCTTCGAAAAGCCCCAGGAACGGAGAACGCCCCAGCCGGCCGAAAAAGGCGAGAAATGCTTCACACTGGCTTGCCGAGGATGGGCACAGCTCCAAACCGTTCACAAACGTAGAACCAGTGAAACTGGTTTTCGACGAGACAAAATGCACACGTCCGAGCGATGCCAAGCTGGAGGTATGGATCACGCTGAGTTTTCGGGCCTCAACTCGGGCCTCTGACGACCACCGTCTGGGACGAGCCGGGCGGCCCCGGAAAGCTGCTTCCGGTGAGGCGCAGCTGCTGGCAAGCATACCGCGGCGAGCAAGCCTTCCGGCAACCGACGAAAACCTGCTTGCGCAGCCTCCTCCTCCTCCTCCTCCTCCTCCTCCTCCTCCTCATCCCTCCCTCAGTCGCTTCTCCCCTTCCCCCTCTTCGTCTTCGTCCTCCTCCTCCTCCTCCGGCTCCCCTTCCTCCCCCTCCCTCCGCCTACTCCTCCTAATGCTCCTCCTCCCCCTTTTATTTCTTTCCCTCATTAATATGTCCTCCACATCGCACCCCCGGAGCGGCCCGGGCGTTTCGCCTGAGATTGTCACACCATCCCTGATCGTAGAGCTTGAAATGCGCAACAACTCCAAGGATGGAAGGGGCCCGTTTTCAAACTGGAACTGTCGCCTGAGCGTCTCGCACATTCGTCATCAAACCCTGCAGCCGTTTCAAGGATGCAGGGCGGACCGTTTTATATACAAAAATCAAAGCTCTCCGCTGAAAACCGTGCAGATTCGCCATCAACATTTGCGACAGCTTCGAGGATGGACTGGAGACCGTTTCAAACTGGAGCTCTCGCCACAGCGGAACTCGTATTTGATATGTGCGACCGTTCCGTGGATGGAAGGGTACACCGCTTCAAAGAGCGAGTCTCGCCGTAGCACCGCCCGCGCGCATTCGGTTTCCACGTTGACAACATAGTCGCATTGATTGATGGCGGTTCGTTTTCAATATGAGGTTTTTGCCTTAACGCCCCGCGCTCTCGTCTCAACATTCTGAACCGATGTCCAAAATGGTGAGCGGCCCTTTTTTATATGGAAATCCGATTGCGCCAATGTTGAGATCAAATGCCAGAAACTCAACACACATCCAAAAAAACAGCAGCAAGTTTGAAAGGCGGCAGTTTTTAACAACAGTAGGCGCTCGCTTGAGACATCTTAGAACATGTAGTACACCTGCACGGGTACAGGGCGGCTTCTGTTCAAACTGGGGCTCTCGCCTGAGGTTTCCTGTAAGGTCACCGCGAAAGTGCAAACTGCTGCGAGGGTTGCACAACTGGAGCGGTTCTTTGACAACCCGATGAACGGTATGAGGATACACTTGCGCAGTCTTCCACAGAGAACGACCCCTTGAAGACTTCATCGGGAACAACATGGGCCACGAAATTGCCTGGGCTCCCCATGCAATTTCGCCTGGTAAATTATTTGCGGCACGGCGGGATGGACACCCCTGGCAGCCCGCACAACGGTGCGGGCGTTGGACCACGCCCCCTTCTCACCTTTGCCACATTCGCAGGAGCCGTCGGCACTGTGACCATCAGCGTTAGCAGAGCTGTGCCCTATTAATGTCGCCGCCGCGGCAAACACAGACCGGCTCGCCAGCAGCAGCCGACAAACATGGGTGGCCAGGAGAACGACGCAGGGGCGCGAAATTGCCCGCGCGAAATAACCCGAACGACATTGCCCACACGAAATGGCCCCATAGCTGCCGCCCAGAATGGCAGCACGAAAAAGCCCCAAACCTGATTCCCCGGACTCGTTTGCGAGCGCCCGGCCGCGCATGCAAGCGCCCCAAAAAAACAGAAACCGCCTGAGATATTCGCACAACAATTTCGCGCAGGCAAAATTTCGTGCTGAAGCCCGCGCAGAGCAGAATGAATTGCGTGCCTAATCTCGCGCCTCACTTCGTGGCACATTTCGTGCCTCCTTTCGTATTTTTGTCGTGTTCGTGCGGCACTCATGTGGAGCTCGCGCAGGGATGAAGTCGCGTTGGGGCAGCACTCGCCTTGCACATGGACGGCGAGGAAGCTGCTATCTGCCAGGGACTATAAGAGACATGTCACGCTATGCGCAGACATGAAACCCTTCCGCGCGCGGCAGCGCCACCTACGCAGTCAAAGCAACCCCCTTTTCGCTTGGAAAGGATTTCGTGCACGCCCCCTTTTCGGTACTAGGGGTTGGACACCCGCGAAGTCTTTAGTACTCGCTAGAAGGCACAGGGTAAGCATGTGTTTCCAAAACAGCTGTTTGTTTTCTTGAGTGGCAGGCGCACCCGGTCCTTCTCGTCGTTGAGAAGAAGGTTTGCAGGGACTCATGACGAGGTGGCTTGAGACGGGCAGGTGTATTACACCATCGCCGATGCATCTTGGGTTCACTCTGGTCAACCCTCCTGCCGCGTGGCCTCGGCGAATCGGTCCTGGGACGAGTGCCTGAACAGCTGGTGGCGGACTGCAGCTGCGAGGCCGTGGGGCCTCGCGCCGCGTCGAGCTCCAGCGGCCGCCGCAAACGATTCGGCTTTTACGAGAAGTTCCTTGCACGTAACTCGAACAGCTGGTGGCGGACTGCAGCTGCGAGGCCGTGGGGCCTCGCGCCGCGTCGAGCTCCAGCGGCCGCCGCAAACGATTCGGCTTTTACGAGAAGCTCCTTGCACGTGACTCTCGTCCTCCCTGCCTCCTTCTCAAAGAGGAAGAAGAAGACATGTTTCTTCACTGCAGTCCTCGGCTTATGTGCAAGTGCGCTCGCGCGCTCGGCGCCCGAGCGAAGATACAAATATGTAGAGAAAATGCATCTGCACTGGCGTGTACTGTATGTGCAGCTCTCGGTTCGCAGTCGCTAGGCCTCCTTCTCAGGACTCAGGTCTGCGGACCTCTGGTGTCCTCTAGGGGCCGCCGCCGTCGCCGCCGCCCCCCCGTCGCCCAACAGCAGAGCATCGCCGGACGGCGGGACGAGGGCTCGCAAGGTGGGCGGAGCCACGGCCCAAAAGGGGGGCCCTCCCCCAGAGACCTCCTTCTTGTACTCCCTCTGCGCCCGCCTCCCCTCCCCTCCCTCTCCATGAAGGACTAGGGTGGGGAGCGCTTTCTCTTTTTTGTTTCTGCTGTCTCTATGCTGGCAGTCATTGAACAGATGGAGCACACTCATGGTCATGCCCCTCGTCGCACACACCTCCCTCTCCATCGGGGGCGCCCTTTTTTTCCCGAGGAGCCCCCCCGCTCGGCTGGGCGGCGTCTGCGCTCGGCTGGGCGGCGTCTGCGCCCGGGCGGCGGCGAGCAGCCTGGGAGGGGGTCGGAGCAGAGTGCAAGATGGCGAGTGGGAGAATGACGCGGGGGAACGGTTAGCACAATAGTTTCCGAATCTTCGGCCTCTGCTTCGCTTCGGCTCATTCTGGCCCGTCGGCGGCCGTCCAGGCGCGCGCCCGAGGAGGGCGCAGGGGGAACGATTGCAGAAATAGTGTCCCGGCCCGGGGCCGGTTTTCTGATCATCATCCCTGGCGCCGTCGCGTGAACACGACCCCCCGTAATTTCTTCATCGGCTTGCTGCATTACATCAAGTCGTCTGGTCGGCCAGGACGCTCGGTGTAACTCTAGGCCTCCAAGATGGGGTCGAAGCAGATGGGGGCGGTCGCGTCGCCGGTGCATCACCGATGCGGCTGGATGAGGAGCCCGATGTTCTCCATGCTAGCGTCGCCATCGCCGAAGTCGCCGATGCATCAGCGATGCATAGCCGACGCATCGCCGATGCCGCGCACGACCCAGGCCTCTCACGAGGTGCGTTCTGACCAGAATTTCTAAGCGAATCCAGCAGTGGCGACGAGGGCTTCCCAGGAGGCCCCCAACAAGCGAAAACGAGGCAAGGGTAGCCAGTATGGGTACCACGTCCTCCTCTGATCCTCTCGTACACAATCTGGGAGGCCTCGAGGGTAGAAACTCAGGGGGGGGGGAAGCAGGGACCATCGCCACCGAGAAAACCCACATCGGGGACGCCCGCGGGCCTCGGTGGCGGTGGCCCCCGTGATAAACGCCCCGGCTGCTTCCAAACCCGTGGGGTGCTGGAGCGTCCATGCACAGAATCCCCTCGCCGAGCTCATCGGCTCCCTGGCCGACGCGACGACGTGTTGACCACCTCCAACCTCTCCAGGCCCGCGGTTCCAGAGCCGATCCGAAAAAATCGAAATCCGCGCGGAGCTCCGAAAGTCTATGTTGATGTAGTTTCTGGAAGCATCTTTCACTTTTCGCGATAGCGGCCGTTACCAGCCTCGGCCACTATCCCCCCCCCCTCATTCCCAGACCCCTGACGTCATGATTTTGTCATACTGTCGACCCCTGGAGGTCTCGACCCCTTCCCCGAACCGGCTTCTGACCCCTGAGTCGTCATCTGCCGGTCCTGCGGCCTGGCGAGGGCCCTCAGAGGCCGAAAATAGCGAAAATCCTGCCGTCGTGATTTTGTTCATGACCCGATGGGGTCTGGATGACGCCCGACTTCTCCCTGAAACCAAAAACGCTTTATCTGCTTATTCTGATTACATACCAGACCACCCCAATTGTTGGGGTTGTCTGGTGGGATGGGGCCCGACCCAACCCGACGTCTTTCGGGTTGGGAGGCGTAAGGGTTCCATGTGCGTGTTTCCGATACTCCCCGGGTTGGGGTGGTCAGGTGGGTATTGATATTCGACTCTCCGGTGCCTTCCCCCATTGAGCAGGGACCGACCGTCCTGGCATTCTTCTAGGCCTATCACGACATGCTTTCCGAATCAGCAAACAAGTCCTAAGAACAAAACGATGTCCTTAGAGCATGATGCCGACGCACTGGAACAAGAGAGTCTCAGCCAGGAATGTTCTTAGAACATTCTTTCCTATAGTCAAACCAGGAAACGTCGCAACTGCTTTTGGCGGCGCGCAGAGGGGGTAAGGGGGAGGGGGGGAAGGCTTCTTAGAAAGGGGCTGTTCCTTAGAAGGCGCCGGCCTTACATGTATAGAGAAGGCCAGCGCCTTCTAAGATGAAGTCGGGCGTCCCCCCCGACAGGGAGATTTTGGGTGCAAGATAAAAATACCTCAAAAATGAACACCAAAATGTGGTGGGCATTTTTGGTGACCACATACTCAAAAAATTCAAAAAATCATCCCCAGAACATTCCTTGCCTATTTTGGAATATATTCCCCCTGTAGAGGGGACACGCCCGACCTATTTTTTTAAGAAGCAGGAGGTGTTTCTAAGGAGGCCTTCCCCTAGCTTTCTGTCGGGCGTGTCCACCTACCGGGGGATTTTCGACGAACAATAAAAACAAATACCCGAAAAATACACCAAAAAGGTCACACAATGCAAAAAAATAGTCCCCATACGATTGTTGGACCATGTTTTGGCTATTTGGGGGGTATCTGTATTTTTCGTCGACCATCCCCCTGTAGGGGGACAGGGGACAGGCCCGACTTAACCCTGGCTCTGCGCGTCGCCGATGCTCGACCCGCCTCGCCTCGCCTCGCGCGCCTCGCCTGGCCTCGCGCGCCTTGGGGGGAGGAGGAGGAGGAGGAGGAGCAGGAGGGGGAGGAACAGGAGGAGGAGGAGGAGGGAGCAAGGAGGACGAAGAGAGCGAGGAGGCGGAGGACAAAAGAGATAAAAGCGAGGAGGCGGAGGAGGACAAAGAAAAAAATGCCTCGCGCGCGTTGGCGCGAGGACGGGCGGCCCGGCGCGTCGTGGCCAGCCGCCAGCACGCCCCCGTGGCACGGGCGCCCCGCGCGCATCGGCGCCGGCCAGCGCCCCCTCCCTCGAGCGGCTTGGGGGCGGCTGGGCGCCGAGGACGAGGGCGAGGACCAAATCGGGCGAGGATGAATCTCGCCGAGGACGAGGACGAGGACCAAATCGGGCGAGGATGAATCACGCCGAGGACGAGGACGAGGACCAAATCGGGCGAGGATGAATCTCGCCGAGGACGAGGACGAGGACCAAATCGGGCGAGGATGGATCTCGCCGAGGACGAGGACGAGGACCAAATCGGACGAGGACCAAATCGGACGAGGATCACATCGGGCGAGGATGAACCGAGAATCTCTGAGATCTCGCGATGCTGGAGGATGCCTCGGGCGCCGCGCCCTGGTCATGGCGCTCCTGCGCGCTCTGAGAGCGTTCCGGAGCGCTCTGGAACAGATTCATCCCCGTCCTAGCCCCGTCCGAGCGTTGCTCAACCGAGAGATCCTGGCGCTGCAACTTTTTCACACCGGGCGTTGTCTTCCAGTGTCGGGCCCCGGAATCATCGACGTGGATCCGGCACGAAAACATATCAGAAAGACAGGGTCGAGGGATCCGGTCGCGATTCTTCGCGGCGTTGCAATACTCTAACAACGTCGGATCTGAGGGAACAGGGGGGCGAGAAAGCGAGGAGCAGACACTGCCGTAAACACACAACAACTCGGAGGTTCGCCCGGATTTCTGCGATCGACGCTGGACCCCCCTCCCTGTCGCGCGGACTGCGCCAGGGGCACGGCGCCGGAGGCACCGCCATGGGGCTCCAGCACCGATCCAGTAAATCCGCGCGGCATCAAAGATCTGATTATTATGTCATCGTTCGCTCCCCAAAGATATGGGCGAGGGGGGGGGACGTGCAACTGTCGTGCCCCTTTTCGACCCGAGGGGGCCTCACTAGAGCCCCAAAAATACACAAAAAGGTTCGCATTTTCTCCGCCACCCCTCATTCCGAGACCCCCGACGTCATGATTGTTTCATATCTTCGACCCCATGGGTCCCGACCCATTTCCGGGATCGGCTTCTCATCCGTGTCTTGCCGGTCCCGAGGCCTGGCGAGGGCCCCCAGCGGCCGAAACCAGCAAAAAAACACCCGCCTGGATTCTTGTCACCTCGTCGGATCCCTGGGTGCATCGCCCCCCCCATGACGCAACACGCCCGGTGCGGGCCGCGGCGAGCCTCACCCGGGGGGCGCCGGCGCCTGCGCTTCGCGGGGCGAGGTGCGGGCGCTGTCGCACAGAGGGGCGCAGCCTCGCCGTCGCCGACGTCGCCAACGTTGCCGCCGACGCTGCGCGTCGGCGCCGTCGCCGTCGGCGCCGTCGGCGTCGCTGTCGGACGCTGCCGTCGCCGACGCCGTCGGCGACGGCGTCGCCGTCGACGCCGTGGGCGTCGGGGTCGACGCTGCCGGCGCCGACGCCGTCGGCGTCGGCGCTGTCAGGGGTAGGCGGTGCCGCTCGGCGGTGTCGCGTGGCCATGGGGAGGCGGCCGCGCCTCCCACCTCTGTGCCTCCGAGCGCGCGGGCTGCAAGCTTGTCTGCACTTCTCGATCTGCGCCCGTCATCCCTGCGCAGGTGCCATGGGAATCGTTCCTGCAGCGTCGATCCACATTGGCCGCATGATCCCCGAAGGGAATCCGCCCATCTGTCCCTCCTCCATCCTCCCTCCCCCTCCCCCATCTAGACAAGCGCGTTCCACTGCTCGCAAAATTGCCGCTCGCCAATGGCCTGGATCCGCTGCGGGGCTCTACGATCCATCACACAGAGGCAGACGTATGGTTTTTCGGACGTTTGCGCGTAGGCACTTTGCGAGCAGTGCAACGCGCTCGGCGACCATCTGTGCCCTATAGATAGCGCCTCCCTGTCGCACCACCGGGCGTGCCCGTGGGGCGGTCCAACAGGTACAAAGACGGAGGGCGCTTGCTGTGTCAAAATACGGCTATCGCACGGGGCTTCCTCACAGTAAGAGACTGTGCGCCAGCGTTGGCCCGACCGAAGCAGCATATGATTGCACGACAGAGCCGTAAGCGATGTGGCACGAGCCATGTTAGCGAAGCCACGTGGTGCAATACATGAGGTGCACGCTGTGTGGTGAAAGCTCTGCGATGTAGGCTGTGTGGTGCAAGTCATGGAATGGCAACCATGTGGTGCAAGCTATGTGGCCCCCTCCCACTCATCGCACGAGGCGCCCACGAGGCGCCCACGAGGCCGCCACGGGCAGAAGCACCTGGCGCAGCCTCGGCACACACGTCTCCCATCCCTTTCGCACAGCAGCGCGAGCTCTTAATGCAAGGCACTGCTCGGAGAATGCGCAGCCGCTGCACGGAGGAAGGGCGGTGGCAGCGCGGAGCCCCAGCGGCCCTGAGTCCGGGGCGCAGGGCCTGGACGAAGGGGCAAGTTTCTCTCGGGAGGGCCCTGGCGCGGCCCAAACGGCTCCGAGTTCAAGGTGAAGATCTTGGATGGGGAGAGGATCCTGAACGAGGTGGCCGGCTCTGCCCCGCCCCAGCACGGCTCCGAACTCAAGGACAAGGCCCTGGACGAGGAGGGCCTGTGCACCTCCTGCAGGCGCCATTGCGACTCATAGCGGCGCCTAGCTCAAGTAGGACCCTGGACGAAAAAACTGCCTCCCACGGCTCCGAGCTCGAGGGCAAGGCCGTGGACGGGGAGGGCGTTTCCCCTCCGGCGGGCCCCAGCACAACACAACACGGCGCCGAGACCACGGAGGACATCCTGGACGAGGAGGAGGTCCCCCACGGCTCGGGGTTCAAGGCGGAGGTCCTTGACACAGAGCGCATCTCGACGGGCGGCGCGGCGGAACCCACTCTGGCGGTGGCTGCGGCAGCGAGTGCAAAGCAGCGCGTGGACGAGGTGCGCAACGCGCCAGCGGCAGAGGAGGGCGGAGCAGCGACAGTTAGCACGACGCCCGTGGACATGACGCGGGGGCTCCTTGGCCACTGTGTTGATGCTGAGCTACTCTGTCGCTGTCTTGGGGCTTTGCTTAGAGGCCTCCTAGATGGGGTCCGAGCAGATGGCGTCGGGGGATCGCGCCGCATCGGCGACACATCGGCGATTCATCGCCGGTGCATCGGCGATGCATCGGCGACGTCGGCGATGCATCGACGCCGTCGGCGTGGAGAAAGAAAGTCGGACTCCACATCGAGCCGCGCGATGTGGCGCGATCCTCCGACCCCCCCATCTACTCGGACCCCATCTGGGAGCTGTATTCTTGCTCGCTAGAGCATTCGACACGCGCAAAGAGCTACACTGCCAATGCCAGGCCTTCCTGCGGTTCAGCTGCGCTCTGGCTCTGAACACACACCGCTTGAGGCGGCGGAGAGCTTGACGGATGCATCCGACAAAGCACCTCCTCGTGCTCGCACGGCGCCAGCGGCAGAGGGCGGAGCAGCGGCCAGCCGGCGCGGTGCTCCTCGCGCTCGGCCGACTCCGCCCTGGAACCCGGTGGCGGAACGACGTCCGCAGCGGGCGCGGGGGTAAGCTCGAGCGCGCGTCAGAGGCGCGCCCTGCTGGCGGCCCGGGCGTCATGGGGGCCAGCGCCCCGCACGGACGCGAGGATGGGCAGCCGGGGCAGCCCCGTCCTCGTCGTCGTCGCCGCCGTCGTCCTCGTCGTCATGCTCCTCCTCCAACTGCTCCGCCCAACCCCCCAATCCCACCAGCCCTCCGGGCGTCGGTGGTTTAGAAGCTTCCTCTTCCACTCCTCCTCCTTCCCCTTCGGGGAAGGGTTTATCACTGTTCCCTGTTAATATACAACCCCTCCCCCAGGCGACTGGGAGCCAACCCGAGTCCATGAGGGCACCCCCCCAACCATCCCTTGTAAGCAACAATACAAACACACATTCTGCCTCCAAATTCGGAGCACGAGCAGCGCACCCGACGCGGCCTCCACCCACTATCCCTGTGAAAGAGCAATACAGAGTACACCTGGCGGCGGCGGCGGTTGCGGCGGCTGCGGCGGGGGCAGCGGATGCGGAGGCGGCGGCGGCGGCGGCGGCAGCGGCGGCGGCAGCGGCAGCGGCGGCGGCGGCGTCGGCGGCGACGGCGGCGCGGCAGCGGCGGCGGCGGGCGGCGGCAGCGGCGGCGGCTGAGGCGGATTGGCGCCCAGTATCTGCATATGCTGTGGGTCGGGTCAGGCTCGGGTGCTACGTGTTGGGAGGGCGGGTGGGAGTGAGCGAGACGGCTTGCGGGCGGGGGGGCGTCTTGACCTCTCCCCCTACCCCCTCCTCATGGACCTGGACAAGGGGCTTCGCGAGGTGTCGGAGCGTCCAAAACGGGCTCGGCGAGGAAGCCACAATCACTGGTGTTACTGAAGTTTTGGCCCCATTTTGGCCTCCTGAGAGGGGGACCCTAATTAGTTTCCCCCCCCTGTGATCGATCTCACCCAAGATGGCCCAATGATGGCCCCCAAGGCTCCCAAGGGTGCCCCAAGAGGGCCCAAAGAGGTGGCCAGGTATTCTCAAGAGGCCCCCACGATGCCCCCAAGATGTTCCCAAGAGACCCCAAGAGGCCCCCAAGAGACCCCCCAGGGGCACCCAACACGTTCCAAGAGGCCTCGGCGAAAATGCCAAATCATTGGTTCTACTACGGTGTTAGCCACATGTTGGCCTCTTGGGGGGCACTGATGAAGATGACTCCAAGAGCGCCTGGGAAAGCCCAAGATGACCTCCAAGATGGCTCAAAAGATCCTAAGACGTCTCATAATGGCTCCCACGATGCTCCAAAATGCCCCAAACACGTCCCAAGACGGCTCCAAGTGGCCAAGAAGCTTCCCCAAGATGCCCCGAAGATGCGAACAAACACATTAGGAAATCCGAGCAGCCCTCTGGGCGCCGGTGGTTTAAAGAGTTTCCTCTTACACCCCTCCTTCTTCCCCTTCGGGGAAGGGTTTATCACTGTTCCCTGTTAGTATACACCCCCTCCCCCAGGCGACTGGGAGCCAACCAAGGTCAATGCAGGCACCACCCAACCATCCCTTGTAAACAGCCATACAAAACACACTCTGCCTCCAAATTCGGAGCATGCGCAGCGAACCCGATGCGGCCTCCCCCCACCATCCCTGTCAAAGAACAATACAACGTACACTTGGCC